TCAAAGTTCGTATATCAGCAATATGCCTGTCAAGCATTTCGGATAATGCTTGAGGGCTTGCTCGTTTTGGACATTAGTGTAAAGCGATGTAACATCAAATGACTCTACCACAGCATTGTTTGGGATATTACAGCACCGTAGCTGTTCATGGTAATGATTCGTATGGCAGGAGAGAGGGGACCATGGATAAAAGTTGAGAGGGTTGTTGAAACAAACACCATTGCTTACCACTGCCTTGCTATTTGTTGTGACCTCAATTTTGCCACTATTCCCTCTCTTTCACTTGACATCGCGGTATTAGCATGCAAGTTGCTTTGTACACATTTTTGTGGCTTACTATTTGCATTCTCCGTTACCGTATGACTGAATATCAAAGAGAATTGGAGCCAAGGTGACTTATATATGCCAGTGTTTGGTACCGATCGGCTCAACCAATCGATCACAACCATCGATACTGAACTCACGACCACCTGTTACGACTGCGCGCACATGGTGAGTTCATGCACTGCTTTATCTATATCTATCTGCACGACCCATGGAGTTTACACGTACCTGTCGTCGACGGCACTGTGGTTGATGTCGCAGGAGATTCCGTTGTTATTGATGACGACTCTTTGTCTGCTGAAGATGTGGCTCTCGTGGTGCTCGTTGAAGCTTCGGTCGTGGGAGTCGAATGCGGAGGTTCTTTAGTTGTTGAACTCGATACTGTACTGGATTGCAGTGTGCTTGTCGAAGCGAGCGATGCAGTTGTAAACGTCTCTGCTGTAGTGGTGCTTGTTTGGGTTGCCGACGTCGATTTCGTTGTGCTAGGTGGTAGTGTGCTTGTCGATGCGAGCGGTGTAGTTGTCGAAGTTTCTGCTGTAATGGTGCTTGTTTGGGTTGGCGAAGTCGATTTCGTTGTGCTAGGTGGTAGTGTGCTTGTCGATGCGAGCGGTGTAGTTGTCGAAGTTTCTGTTGTAGTGGTGCTTGTTTGGGTTGCCGACGTCGATGTTCGTTGTGCTAGATGGTAGTGTGCTTGTCGAAGCGACCGATGCAGTTGTAAGCGTCTCTGCTGTAATGGTGCTTGTTTGGGTTGCCGACGTCGATTTCGTTGTGCTAGGTGGTAGTGTAGTTGTCGGGATTTCTGTTGTAGTGGTGTTTGTTAGGGATGTCGCTGAATATGGAAATGAGGACGTCGATTGGTGTAACGCCATCGTACTTGCTGCAGTTTTTGTAGTCATCTTCTCGGCTCCGTGACCTGAAGAAATAGCAATTATATAATAGCTCTCGTTCTTCATGTTGAGGAGGCTGTGAACTTATTTATTTTATTTTAGTGAAGTTGCTTATATTAGGTTGTTCTTCCTGTTTACTACGCATTTCGACACTATGGTCTATTTGAGAGTTTCCACTTCTAAGGCAGCGTTCATACTTCGCGACAGCAGCGGCGATTGCGGTGATCGTCGGTACGGCACAGAGCGCGCCGCAACGCTATTACTTGGACCGCTCGTAAATAAAGAAATCCAACTTGTGAGACCTTTCCCTTCAATAGTAGCTACTGACTGGAAACTTTCTCGACTTAAGAGGATCTGGAATGTGATGAAGGGGGTTTTCACCATTTTTTGAGATCGATATAATGGATACTTCACCTAATAGGTGGGTTTCTTTTTGCTTTTGTTTCATTGTTTCATTTTATATGAGTGTCTTGAAATTTCCTATTGGTTAAACTGTTCCAACTTCCAAAACATTTATAGTTTACAAGTCGAGTTCAAACAACGAAAAAAAGAACGAAACCTACCTATTAAG